GAGAGGGGGTTGTCCATCACCACCACCACCAAAACAACAAACAAATCTCCGAGTCTCTCACCCTGATAACGAAACAAGAGAGGCGGCGGTTGCAACATTGTCCAACACACTCATATTCGCACACCATCGAGCCGGTGGTTAAATGAGCAATGAGTGTTCAGTAGTTCTTTACCGAATTGCAGCCCCCCTCCCTCCCTCTCCTTCTCAATGGCGATTGCAATCTGACTGCAGGTGTGATTGAGTATGGGATAGAGATAGGTAAGTAGAAGCTGTTCAGAGCAGAGCAGAGCAGAGTACAGTCATCGCCAGAAAAGGCAACAGAAGCGATGGCAGCCGTACAAGTGGCCATCAGCAGAGATACAACGCACCAAGTTAGCAGCAGCAGCAGCCACTCTGACTCACCCTAACGAGAGAGAGGATTTTCAGTGCGTTTTAGTACGTTTTGGTGGACGGTGCAGACTGCGTTCTTTCTGGCTTCACTTTCACTCTTTCATCGCATTCAATCTTTCTTTCTCCTCCTCCTCTATCTCAGCAGGCTCACCTACACCTCGATCGATAGCGGCCGTGCATAGTGACAGTCAGTCAATCAGTCAGAGTAGCATGTTCCTTCTTTCCACTGATAGTCTCGGTGTTCTCACCATTACCACCACCACCACCACCAGCAAAATGTCAGACAATGGACAGTGCACTAGGTGTGCAGGGGAAGAAAGAAAGGAAGACAGACTGAGGAGAAGAAAACAGGCAACCGGCTAACCTTGTAGACGAGCGCTCGCGCGTTCCTGTACAGTGCTTTCAATACACACAATTCAATTCAAGTCAACCTCAGCAGCCTAACGTCGCCTGAACACGACAAAATCGTTTCGCTTTCGCTTTTAGCGGCAGCAAACATAACACACACACACAAACACACGATACACTTTTTCTTCTCGCCCATTTACTGCTGTTACCACCACCTACGCGACTGGTGGCGACTGCTACGGCTTCGAAAAAGAAAAGTAGCAAAGATAGATCAAGGTGGTAATATCTCAAGGAGTCGTTTGCCATTTGTGACGAGGTTAGAAGAGAGGGGGAGGAACTCACATACATGTGCGCCGTGTGTGATAAATGGTCAGACGAGAGATGGAAAGATGGAGAGAGTGAAAGGGAAAGTAAGCGAGGCACTGAAGTGATGCTACGATTTAAACTGCACCGACAGTCTCACTTGAATGGCTGCAATGACGTCAAGTGACGGCAACAACAACTGACAGCCGGTTTAGGTAGTGGAACATACACACACAACTCTTTTGAAGGTAAAGGTTACAAAGGTAAATAAAAGATTCAACCTACCGTTATGGATGCCCGATGTCTGGCTCGGGTGAGAACACCGGTGGTGGTGGTGGTGGTGGGAGTGGTGGCGGCACTCTTCTCCATAGCCGGCTTTGCCTGGTGAGGTGTGGCCACTTTTGAGACCATTGTCACAGCTTGTATCAAAGTTGACGGAGGCGGCGGTGATGATGGTGATCAGTTGAGGAAACCACAAAGAAATAAGAGATGCATGTCAATGCCTCTGACTCAAAGATTCTCTGAAAGCTACTTGAAAGCTTCAACGGTCGAAACTTAGACGATAGACTGTGGAGTTGGTGGATTCAAGAAAACTCTCCAGAGGTGAGCACGTGGTCCACAATGTCATGCAGCCGCACCACAGCAAGTGACTATAACACAGTGCACAGTGGTAAACAGCTGATCTCTGGGGTGATGATGATTTCGAATTTCGAAATGCCGCAACTTTGGAAGACTCGTGCAGGCGAAGGTGACAGGATCTTCAAGAACTTCTAAGACTTCTGGGGTACTGGTTTTGGAGGTTGTCGTTGTCGTGACAAAGATCAGCACCAGGCACAGTAGTAGTGAGATTGAGCAGCTGCAGCTGCCACAATCACCAACCCAATCTGCGCCTTTGTGCAGAAAACACGCACCACTACTGTCTCCTCTGCTGCACTGACAAAACGCATGTGAGTTCGGATGGCTGGTAGTGTTATCAGTGCCACTACTACCACCTCGTCCGCGGGCACAGCCGATGATGACACAATGGAAATGGCTTGCCTGCCGACACAGTGAGACTCGGAGATGAGATGAGGGTGAAAGACCACCGTTTGGTGGGGATCAATTGAAAGGTGATGGAGACCTTGCCGAGGAGGACCGAGGAGGACAGAGCGGATTTGCTTTGGTGAGAGGACAACAGCTGCACACACACACACACACACTCATCGCACCGCGCACAGATGAAGAAAGGGAAAGCGTTGATCTAGTAGGCTCCCTTTCCGAAACACTTCCCGCAACTTTATCGATCTAAGGCGGGGAACTTTCCTGCCTTATCTTAACGCACCGCACCGGCTCCACTTTTACCCTCCTCTAGTGCGCCCTTGCGCCCTTCTGCCATACTAAAACTTGGTCACTGAACTACAGTGTTTGACTACGCTCCGGTGGGCGACACCCGGATCCGGTTCGACTGTCCCCGCCTAGGTTCGGGAGCGGTCTTTTATCGATGCAAAAATTCAAATATTTTAAACTTGCCCGCAGTGACGCCTAAGCGTGGTAGATGGCGCTGCTGGCGGTTCGAAAAACATCCGTTGAAAAATTCAAAACAAAAAACAGTAAATCTAAAGACATTGCGTTTTTATGTCATCAAGTTTTTATAAGATCATCATCTGAAGCAAAGCAAAATAATGCCCGAGGCGAGCGAAGACGAGGGCTACAATGAGTTGCTCATACAGTGGCTCACTGACCTGAGGATGGGCGCCAAGCGGAACAATTCAAAGGCAGAGTTTACCTATCTGAAGGTACGTGAAAAGGATCCAAACTGTTTTATACCTTACTTTTGACTGATAAAGATGTTCTTTTTCCACTAGGCACTCAAGTCAGTGAAGGAGTACAAGGCGCCACTTCGCTCGGGCGCCGACTGCCGCAAACTGAAGGGCTTCGGCGAGAAGATCTGCGCAATGATCGACAAAAAGCTCAAGGAGCACCTTGGCGACGCTTACGTTCCACCGCAGCCTGAACCGGCGGCGGCGCCAAAACGTGCCAACAAGAACAAAAACACAGCTCAACCAGATCAGCCTGAACAGCAGCAGATTTCCTCACTATTTAGCAATGTTCGAAAACGAGTTCCAAACGCCGCCTCGCCCGGCATCGCCAGTCCAATGCACAAGATCAGCCGACGAGCCGCGGCGGCGGCTGTTCCGCAGCGAAATCGAAAGTACATCCCCGCCCAGGGCTCCAGCGGCTTTGCCATCCTCGTGGCCCTTCTTCGCTTCGAGCTGGAGCGCGGCCAGCAGCTGGTGAACAAGTACGACCTGCAGGAGATGGCGCAACGGTACTGTACGACGAACCTAGGTGCCACAGCGGGCGGCGGCGGCGCCAGTTCAATGCACCGCTTCGCCGGCTGGGCCTCGGTGAAGACGCTGCTGGCGAGGTCGCTGGTGGAGCGCACCGACGCCCGAAACTCCTACTTCTACCTGACGGGGAGGGGGCGGCGGCTGGCGCGGAACCTCGCCAAGTGCTGCTCCATGCTCAGAGGTAGGTGTTATCGAACTTTTTTAATGAAAATCGAACTAATCAAAATTCTAATTCAGATTTTGCTGAAAAATACCTGCTCCACGAGCCACAAGACGATCTGAGCAGCGATTCTGGTGGTGATGATGGAGTGGTCGACCTTTCCGACGATGAGGCAGGAAGCAGTGCTCCCAAAACGACGACGACAACAACAGCAAAGACGACCTCTTTCAGTGGTCAGCCCGCCTATCGGCCTTTCATCTTTCAACCCGGAGATTACGAAGTGATCCTGTGCATTGACACTCGCGAGCGAATCGCCACCAACTTCTGCTCTGACAAGAACGCCGCTTTTGCCGCCGCCCTGCAGAAGCAGGACGTTCGCGTGGAGATCCGCACACTGCCGCTGGGAGACTTTGTGTGGATTGCTCGGGAGAAAGCGAAGAATGGATCATCTTCAACGACGACCTCAATTGACGGCGGCCACTCTCGTACATTCACTTCGATGACCCTGGAGATCAACTCGTCATCATCGGCACCTTCCACCGCCTCAAACCAGTGCTCAGACATTCGCCGTGAACTAGTCCTCGACTGGATCATCGAGCGGAAGCGCATCGACGATCTTGCCGCCAGCATCAAGGACCGCCGCTGGGACGAGCAGAAGTTTCGCCTGCTGGAGAGCGGCATCCGTCGGCCCACCTACCTCATCGAGTACATGGGCAAGAGCTCGCGGCGGGCGGAGCACGGCGGCCTGCAGCCTGAAGCGCTGGAGCAGGCGATGACCAACTGCGAGGTGGACGGCTTCGACGTGCGCCGCACCGACTGCTTCGAGGACACCGTCCGCTACCTCACCTACATGAGTCGGTGGATTGAGCGCCGCTTCGCCACTCTGGCCATCATGTCCAGCGCGAACAAGGAGGCGCTGGCGAGGACGGTGCCCGCCGACCACCACTACCTGCCCTTCAACGAGTGGGCCATCAACAGCGGCAAGGTGGCGGTGTACACTGCCGGCGAGATGTTCATCAAGCAGCTGCTGCAGGTGAAGGGCGTCTCGGTGGCGAAGGCAAGGGCCATCGTTCGCCGCTATCCGACGCTGCGGGCGCTGATGGAGGCGTATGACCGCCAGGCGGATCGCTACTCAAAGCACAACCTACTCACTGATCTGGTGCCCGAGTCGGGTCCTGCTGTAGGTGGTGGTGGTTGTGCTGATGATGGGGGTGGTGAGAAGAGGCGTCGCTTTGGCCAGGTGATCAGTCGCAAGGTCTACGAGTACTACGGCACAGACCAGTGAGAGCAGACAAGACTTCCTTTTGTGATACTTTTTAACCCGTTATTTTCACCACTTTTGAACTGATAAAATACATTCGCTCTTGATTTTTTAAAAATCCACTTTGAGCTCGGTTTTTGTTGTCGTGAAAAAGTTTCTCTGGTCCCGAAGTTTCAGAAACATTTCTTCCGCTGCATGCGCCGTCTAGTGGCGGTGTTTGGCCGCATGGGGTCGCAAGGATCGAAACACGCTGGATTAGGCTCTCTTTGTTTTCGAAACTTATCCTTCATCACAGATTTTAAAAGCTAAGAATGTTCGAACACTTTAACATCAAGTCGATGCTGGGCTTCGAAAAGAAGACAAAGAGTCCAAAGGATCCGAACGTGAAGATGCTGCTTGGTAGGCCTTTGTTTTGTGAAATTTCGATTTCCTTATCATCTCTTTTTCCTCTCTAGCTTGGAAGCAGGGCGACCAGAGCAGTGGCAAGTGGGCTGAACGAGCGGTGAAGGAGCTGGTGAAGCGTCTGAGCAAGAGCACCGACGGTGGTCTGCTGACCAAGCTGGTAACAGCCCTTGCTAGCGGCGACGAGCAGAGCGCCTGTGTCCCGCTGGCGACGAACGTCGACGGGCGCATTCAGCTCTCCTACCGAAAGGTGCTGCCACATGTCGTCTTTGCCCGTCTCTGGCGGTGGCCCGATCTGCTGAGCCACCGTGAACTTGATTCGGTGGGCTCCGCTCTCTGTTCGTCTCCCTACGAGAAGAAGACGAAAGCGGTGTGCATCAATCCCTACCACTACCGTCGTAAGGGTGTGAAGGAGGAGAAGGCGATTGGCGAGGAAGGGTTCGGAATGCTCGGTAAGTGCTTCCTTGATCTGAAGGCATTTCATCATCTCCACTTTCTGCTTTTTTTGCAGCCATGCCGCCCAACGTAACCGTCTGTTCGATGGAAGAGGCTCCCCCGATGGAGTACTTTTTCTATCCAGTCGCAGCTGAAGGTTACTCCGATCCACCAGTGGTAAGCTTTTCTGCTGTCACTTATGTTTTTGCTTTATTTTACAATTTTTGTGAAAGATGGCCGACAGCCCTCCTGATCCTTCTTCTTCAAGCGATGCCAGCAACGGCTCTCCTCCTGAAGCTAACTCAAAAGGAACGGCCTCCTCACCTGCTGGTGGTGATAATGGAATTGCTGGTGGTAGCAGTGAAGACTCTCCAGAGATAAACTTCGTGGCCGATAAAGATGAAGAAGCGGAAGCGCCTACCATCGATGAGCCCTCCTTCTGGTGCAAGATCTCCTACTTTGAGCTGAGCAACCGCGTCGGCCCGATCTTCTCGGTGACGAGCAACCCGGTGACGGTGGACGGCTTCACCAACCCGCAGAACGATCCGGAGCGCATCTCCCTGGGCAGCCTCAGCAACATCCACCGCAACTCGACGATCACCCAGACGCGGCTGAGCATCGCCGAGGGCATTCGCCTGCACTACCATCCTCAGGGCGGGCAGCTCTTCGTGGAGGTGCTTTTCGAGCACGCCATCTTCGTCCAGTCGGAGCTGCTTAATCTGGTAGGCGGGCAGCCTTCGACCACTGTGACCAAGATCACCGCCGCCGCCGGCCTGGTGAAGATCTTCGACGAGGAGCAGTTCGGCGAGGTGCTGGTGGGGCACGCCGCCGCCGACTACCGCACGGTGTACCGCCTCACCAGCATGTGCACCCTCCGCCTGTCCTTCATCAAGGGCTGGGGCGGGGCGCCCTACTACCGCACCGACGCCGTCATGACGCCCTGCTGGCTGGAGATACAGATGCGCCGGGCGATGATGCGCCTCGACGAGGTGCTCGTCCGAATGGTCGGCCCTGATGACGACACCGACAGTCAGTGAACAGGACAGTGTTTTTACCTAATCCCCTTTTATCTCACTTGTAATCATTTTTAGCTCAACTTTTTATCCGTTCTCTGTGCTTCCTTGATTTACATACAGTTTTCTAGAAATCGGCAATAATAGTAGTTAGTAATGGAAAGTAGTCAGCACCTTTACAGCCTCTCCACCCCCTTCACCTCCGCCCCTGACCGCTATCACCTTTATCACAATGGCGAACAACTTCAAGACCCCGCTTTCTCTCTAAAACCGACACGGATTCTGGCGGTAGGCGAGGTAGAAGCCACGGGCATTGTTGACGCCATTCGAGACAAATCGCAGCTGGAAGGGACCGGGGGTAGAGTCGATGGCCATCAGGTGATTGGCGGTGGCGCCAGCTCCTGCGGTGTTGCGCTTGTTGGCTCGAGTTCGCGAGGGCCCCAAACGAGGGTCGGAGAAGAAGTACTGGTGAGGGTCAGGCTGACCTTGCTGAGCTGCTGCGGTGTAGTCAGCCCGTCGGTGTGGTCTTCGCAGCGGCGAGCTGTCCTGCTGGACAATCTGCTCACCGCCATTGCTGGGCACGCTCTCGTCGAGCATCTCGTGCAGTTCGCCGTTTCGGGTTCCATTTCCAGCTCCTCCGTCGACTGTTGTCAGATCATCACCGCCGCCGCCGACCGATGAGGTGGACGTAGTCGATGAGCCCAGCGTCANCGTCGACTGTTGTCAGATCATCACCGCCGCCGCCGACCGATGAGGTGGACGTAGTCGATGAGCCCAGCGTCACGTGCTCTGCCTGGTCTGCTGCCTCCTCTGAGGGCGTTGTTGAGGGCCCACCGCTGCGACCATTTCCACCGCCCACCGTCTGCAGTTTGCTGCACACCCTCATGCCGCCAATGACCAGAAAGTCGTCCGTGCAGTCGCTCGAGTGGACGATAGTCATGGGGAGGCTGGCGATGCGACTCTGCCCACCACTTCCGCCACGGCCTCTAAGGCCGACGGCATCGCTGTTCAGTGCGCCGCCCACTGAGAAGGGCAGCACCGCCCCACTGGCGGCGTCGGCCATGAACTCGTAAGAGACCGAGCAGAAGCCCGTCTCCTTGCGAATGCAAATCAGGTAGTCGATGTTGTTCGGGTAGCCATCATTTCCGTTACCATTTCCTCCCTCTCTGTCTGCGCTCTCCCCATCGTCGGTGACCGTCTTTGCTGGCTGGTAGTTGAAGCTCTTGATCTGCCCCTGAGTCGAGTCGTAGTACTGCAGACAGTGTGGTGGAGCTAGAGAGTTAAAGGTTTAGAAGATGTTTTAAACAGTATTTTCCTTACCCATGAGCGGGCTGCCGCACTCAATCTGTTGCAGGTGAATGTCAAACTTGCGCGCATAGGCACCTCGGAGCACTAGCTGCAGATTGACCAGTCCCGATTCGTCGATGGCAATGTAAACTGCAAAAGGAAAAGATGAGATTATACAAAAACACAAAATAAAAACTCCACCTCAAACTTACAGTGTTGACCACTGTTGTAGCCACAAATGCGCGGGACAATGTTGTTCTCATTCTGTCCCGAAACGGAGAAGACGTCCTGGCTGCAGTTGCCCTCCACCGGCTTGGCAATGTCAAACTCGAGGAAGCTCAGCTTCAGCTGGCAGATGTTGTGGCCGCCGTTCTGCTGACGAAAACTGCCGCCGCCGCCTTGAGGCTTGTGCACCTTCAACCGACAGAGCGCCGACTCGTCCATCGCCCTCGGATAGGCGGGGTTGCGAAAGTAGGCGTGGCGCTCAGAAACGGCGCCTCCGCAAGTGGCCTCAAAGAGGCAGCAGACGCTACCTGCACCGCCCCCGGCACAGCGGCCCATTGGAATGCCGCCCCGTTCGCTGCACTCGGTGGCCTCGTAGCAGAGGCCGGTGCGAGAATCGGGAGCGGTGCAGGTGGGCGCTCCACTGATGCCGTTACCTGCTGCTCTGTTTACACCTTCCGAAGCGTAGGTCTCTGAATCGGGTGAACTATCTGCGGAGTTCTTGAACGCCTGTCGAAGGACACGATGAAAGGTGGTAGTAGATGGTGAAATGGGTGTTGGAAAGGATGCCTGGTGCTGGTGGTGGTCGAGCTGCTGCTGATCATTTCCGCCCTCTACTGAAGAGCTGCCGAAACGTTTTTCAAACGATCGGTAAGTGGGCGGTGTGTCATACTGGTGGCTGTGTCCATTTGGATCATACAACGGAGAGGAGGGTCGTTCGAGGAGGAAGGTCGTCGTGGGTGACTGCTTTGACGTAAACTCAAAGTTGCTTCGGAGGTTGTCTAGTGCACAAAAAAAAGAGTGTTTAGGGATGAATCGAACATAAAAAATAGCAAAACCCTTTTACCTTCAGCGAACCTCGTCCTGGTGAGTCGAGTGGCCAGCGCCAGCCGCCCATCAGGCATGCAGTGGCAGGTGAAGAGGAGAAAGAGCCACTTGTAGCTGCGCAGAGCAGAGATGAGCAGCCAGGCAGTGGGCAGCATTGTTTGCTTGGAGGAATAGTGTTCGAAATGCAGAAAATGCTGAAGTCTTGCTGTTGGCAGTAAAAGTTAATGAATGAAGAAATGAGCAGTCGAGAACACCGTCGCTGCTTTTATAGTATCACAACAGACTGAGGGTGTCGTCGTCTTTGTCAGAAAAGTGGTTCCCGGCTGTCGGAACTGATTTGCCTGATTCGATTGGCGATGTGCCAGTGTTCTTGGGGGAGATCAATCAATCAGAGCACTGGTCAGCCGTGACTAAGGCCCACCACCACCAGCACTAGAGTGGGCTGCTCAAGTTCATTAACACGGGAAATGTCAACTGTCGGAACTGTTGGAAACTGATGCTCAAAACTGCTGGGAAAGATCGGACACAGACGCTCAAGCAAATAAAATAAAACAATCGGAGGCAGAACAGAGCACGTACACTTGACAGAGGTGATTTTCCGCTACCGCTGCCGAGGGTTGCGCCAAATGTAAATAGAAGCCGATGGAGCGTGACCGGTGAGGACACACACACTTGAGATCGAAATCTGCTCAGACAGTTTTTTGAACCGGCGAACAGCGAAGGGGAAGAAGCGTCTCTGTTGACACTTTCCCGAACAGACGCTGAATGTGTGTGTGAATGTGTGTGCAATTTGTCACAACGGCCTGGGTGGTAAGACACTGCCGAGAGGAAGACACTAAGGTGGTCATTAATCTTTGAACGACAGGTGAGAGTGGTGAGGGTGAGGTCAATGGTTCGCAGAGGAAGGGAGAGAGAGTTCACAGAATTCACAGGCTTTAGGAAAAAAAACAGCCTATCACACATCCAATCCACCTGAGGCTGATCTGATCTGATCGTTCCCTAAGCCTGCTGATCGGCGGTATATAAACGTGCAGTGCACCTTTGCAGTACAACTCTCCAATGCCACGCCTCGTATTGTCCGATCAGCGAGGTGATCTCTTGTTTCGACTGTTCTGTTGTCCAGCAGTCAGTGTTTGTCAGGCAACATCGGTCGCGACTCGCGAGGTCGTGAGTTCTATCGTTTCGATACAATCATCATGTGAGCGAGATGACCAGACCATACCACCACCGCTCAGTTGAGCGCGCTTTGCTTCACTGCTTCATCCTTTCTTCCTTCTTTCCATTTCCCTCGTCCTTGGTTACACATTTGCTCGCCAGCTTTGTTGGTCGATTTGCAGCTGAGCTTTTTGGGGAGAGCTGAGCGAGTAGCTCCACTTTTCGGGTCATCATCATCATCATTGGGTGCTATTTGATTATAAAGAGAGTAAAAAGAAGAATTAGCAAACAGGTAGACAAACACCGACGGTCTTGTCGTTCCTTTGACAAAACGATGTCACAAAGAGGCAGACGACACAGATGTCAGCTGTCTGCCTCCAATGGGTGAATGGGCAAACGACTATGATCAGGAGGACAATGGAGAACGCACTGGATAACACAATAATCACCACAGCCATTACGGCGAAGAATGAACGAATGTTTGTCTGTCTGTTGGCCACAGAGTTGATAGAGATGTCCAAAGAGCTTCTGTTGCTGTTCGCCACCCAAACTTGACAGTCTGTTTGGTCACTAATGTGGGTCAGCAGCAGTGGTTAAATTAATCTTCAGTGGCAGATCCTTGGCCATTCTAATGATCTTTGTCATGCTAATCGATTTACGAAAGAGAGTGAAGCCGGACTGCACTTTGAAATTGGGACCAAAACTTGGGGATACAGATCGAAGCAGAGAAAGAATGGCGACAAGCGATCTGAGCATCGATGATCAACGACTCATATGGCACATTGTAAACAAAGAGCCCCCTGTAGGGGTCGCCCCTGTCAGTGCTGAACAGCGGCGACACGTGTCAAATATGCAAATTAGACGATAGTGCTGCTGCTGCTGCGCTGTCGACAGTTTCGTCTGCGCGCTGGTAAAACCGAAACGCACACCACTTTTAGTCATTGTCACCTCTCGGCTCTGGCGGCTGCAGACGCGGTCATCTTTCTGAGCGTCGCTCACTCTGCACCCACGTGCTTCGACTTTGGCTACTACTGGACTCGACCTCGACGACGACGACCGTTGGGACTCACGATTCAGGGATCACTTTCTCGGCTCTGGTCTCGCCCGAAGACGACCCACTCTGTTTGTTTTTCCTCACGAGAAATCGTCTGTCCTAGTCACGTTGCTGCTGTCCGGAGCTGTTCTATTTCTCTCTGCCTCCTTTCTCCTCTATCCTTGAT